CCAACTCAGAGGAACCCGGCTAAAGGGAGACCATCATGCGACACAAGCAGGGTACTGTACAGGGTAAAGTGGTAAGAGAGTGGCGACGTCTGAAGTAGTCAGAGCTGATCGTGACGAAGTCCATGAAGCTGCTTATGACGTCCACGATGAGAAGTCCGGAATGCCGTCGAGGAAGAACCGCAATGTCGACGAGCCGAAGTAGCAAAACTGGAGTGGATGGAGTACTGAGAAGTCAAGGACGTGGGAAGGTAAGTTAGAGTCAATCGTCGTATCGAGCAAGACGACGACGAGTGCGCTGTGGACGCTCAGAAACATTCGGCTGCTGCTGAAGGTCTGCCTCAGATGGAGCAGGCTCGACTTCAGCGGTCTCCCCAGCCGGGGGAGAAGGAGGAGGGTCAGTGGGTTGAGGAGGAGTAGTGAACCCAGCGCGACGAGCACGGTCATAAGCACGCACCAACATGCGAGCGCGCTGCAAGTGCTCTAGGGGCTCCCTGGTAGCCTCCTCATCAGGGTAACCCTTCCAACGTACGAGATACTTGACGTGGGGAGGGTTGTCGTCGGTGACTCGGCGACCAATGATGTCTGAAACGAGGAACTCCTCGTGGCCGTCCACCATGATGGGTGGAGGGCGCTCGTATGGTCGTCCAACGAAACGCTAAGACGGTCTGCGATAAGGACGCAGTAACGAGACGTGGTAGACATCATGCACACGAGCCTGGCGTAGGTAGTCGGACAGCTCTACATGAAAGCTGACCGGGCTAGATGCCGTATCAGAACCGACGACCTGGAGGATGCGGCATGGGCCAAAGAAGCGACGCCGAAACTTGCGAAGCATGTCTGCTTCGAGCTGTAAGTGGCGGGCGTCGATAAGCACATCATCACCGACTTTGAATGGATAATCCATCCTCGATCGGTTCGCACGTGCTGCCATGCGAGTCTCGGAAGCGGCTATGTGCTCACGTGCGGTCTTCATGATCGACGTCATGTGTGCAACCCAATCGTCCAGCCGAGGTCGCAATAGTAAGGCGACATCCCCGTGGCTGGCGAGACGGCGTGGTTGTAGGCTATCTCCGCRTGGGCAAGATGAAGATCCCACTGCTGGTTGTCACGAACAATCTTTCGAAGAATATCTCCGAGAGTCCTGTTCGTGATCTCGGTCTGACCATCAATCTGAGGATGGTAAGACGAGGAGAAGCGGAGCTGAGTGCCGTATACCTCGTGGAGCCGTCGCCAGAATCGGCTGGTAAAGCGCGGGTCACAATCAGATATGATGCTCAGAGGTAAGCCGTGGTCACGCACGACTCGGTCAAACACGATGTCGACGACCTCACGTGCACTGATGGCATAGCAGCACAGAACAAAGCGTGCACGCTTCGTGAAGTGGACGACGACGACCAGGATAGCATCATGACCGCGAGGGGTCGGAGAACGAAGAGGACCGATGAAGTCCATCGAGATGGACTGCCAACGACCCTCAGGGATAGGAAGAGGCTGGAGCAAACCATAAGGCAGGTGGTTCGCACTGTTCACCTCCTTACAGGTGGGACACTCTGTGACGTAATCCTTCACAAAGTCCTTGCGCTTCGGCCAGACGTACAGGCGGCTCACACGAGCCAACGTCTTGTGGAAGCCCATATGACCGGCAGCTGCCTGGTCATGAAACTCTGCTACTACTCGGACACGTAGCTGTCCAGTGGAGGGAACGCAAATACGGGGCTCTCTGGTGCCCTGTGAACCGTGCGAGTACACAAGACCGTTGTCCCCGAGAGAGTAGTTCGGGACGGTCTTGCCACTCCAAAGGGTCGCGTGGATGTCGCGATAGTCGGGGCAGTGGCGGTACTGAGTGCGAAACTCGTCGATCACCGAGTGGTGAACGGTGGTGACCGATATGGAAGAGAGTTGGATGTGCTCCTCGTCGTGGTCAGGGCACCGGGATAGGGCATCTGCGACCCGATTAGTCTCACCCTTGATGTGCTCAGTGGTGAAACTAAACTCGGATAGGTCGCGCCACCAGCGAGCCTGTCGAGGAGTGAGCTTCGACTTTGTCAGAAAAGCCTAGACAACAGAGTTGTCCGTGCGCATCGTGAATGGTGCCCCGTGCAGGTAGTGACGCCAGTGCCGAGCGGCATAAACTACTACGAGAACCTCACGTTCATCAGCAGTGTGGTTTATCTCGACGGGCAGGAGCTGACGGGAGTAGAAGGCTATTGGACAATCACCTGAGCGAGACTCGACAGTGCCGTCCTCGACGATGGTAGGAGAATAGTCAATAGAAGGCTCGTCAGTAGTTGGACGAGTAGGCGTCAGTCGGGAAGCAGTGGTACGGGTAGGTGGTGGGAAGCGAGGGATACGAGGATGAGAGGAATCACGAGAGGAGGGGAAGACCTGAGAGAGCACTGCTCCTACAGTGAAGTCTGACGCATCGGTGGTAAGGATAAAAGGGCGGTCAAAATCAGGTAGGTGAAGAACCGGTGCGCATGTCATCCCCTTCTTGAGGGCGCGGAAGGCGTCCTCGTGGAGGGGTGTCCAAGCCCAGGGTGGGTTCTTCCGGAGGAGGGTGGAGGTAAGGACGTAGGAATACCTAGCGTATCCCCGGATGAAGTTACTGTAGTAGCTGGTCAGGCCTAGGAAACTGCGAAGCTGCTTGGCGGATGTGGGAGCGGACCACTCCGCAATAGCAGTGATCTTCGCGTCGTCCATGTGGAGACCCTGGTCAGACACGTAGTGTCCTAAGAAATCCACTTTGTGTTGGGCAAAGCGGCACTTGCTCAGTTTGGCGTAGAAGCCATGTCCGCGCAAGCGGTCAAGGACGTCACGGAGATGTCGGAGGTGTTCCTCAAGGGTACGACTGTAGACCAGGATCTCGTCGAGATAGACGAGAACGTACTGCTCCAAGATGTCCCTGAAGATGTCGTTCATCGCCCTTTGAAAGGTATCGGGAGCGTTAGTGAGGCCGAATGGCATCACCGTAGATTCGTAGTGGCCGAAACGCGATCGGAATGCTGTCTTCGGCTGGTCGGCTGCAGCGACGCGGATCTGATGGTAACCGCTACGAAGATCAATCTTCGTAAAGAAGCGGTTGCTTGCTAGGCGGTCGAACAGCTCATTGGAACGAGGCATGGGGTAGCTGTTCTTAACTGTGTAGCGGTTGAGACCGCGATAGTCGATGCAGAAACGGAGAGTTTCGTCCGCTTTGCGAGCAAAGAGGACGGGTGCACCCCACGGGGAGTTGCTGGGTTTAATGAAACCCAGTCTCAAGAGCTCCTCAAGCTGACGGTTGAGTTCGGTGGGCTCGGGAATCGAGAGTCTGTAGGGTGTCTGGTGGTGAACACGATAGTCAGGCACAAGCTGAATGGAGTGCTCGACGTCACGCATCGGTGGGATGCCGGCGTACGAGAACGACGATGGGAAAACGTCGTGGTACTCTCGGATGAGGTCACGAACTGCGGGCTCCAAGTCAGCCGTATATCGTGCGAGTTCCTCAGCGTCAGCGTCAACACGCGACGACGGGGTGGACTCGACGGACTGCGGAGGGACGAAAGTAGAGATGGGAGCCATGGAGATAGAGGGAGGATCTGGCTCCAGAGGGATGAGCTCGGCGTCGGACAGGGTGGATCATAGTGTAAGAGATCCGTCACGTCCACCATAAAGAAGGTGACGTCGTCCTGTCGAATGAAGTGAGCGAATTGCCGAGGCGAGGTGACAGTGATAGAGGGAGATGGTGTGGGCACCGAAGACTCCGGGGGAGGAGAATCGGGGCGTGGTGTCGTCGTGGTACCTATGAAAGGTATGCAATACGTCTGTCCACACTTCGTTTTGAGAACGAGAGTGTTGGTCGCCCAATCGGCCTCGGTGCTGCTGAACCGACGAGACCACGGAGTGCCGAGAATGAAGTCGTACCCCGTCTCCATCACATCGAAATGTGCAGAGGAGCGGTGGCGACGAGACGCCGGGGAACGATCAGTCGGGTCGAGGGTGAGGAAGAAGTGGAGGTCGGTGACCGTCTGATCGAAGAAGCGCTGGGTCTTGTCATCCCCTAGGGTAACAGAGATGGGAGTCGAAGACCCTGTCGTGGGTAAGCGGGCTTCCTTCACCACACGTGGGTGAATGAAGTCGCCCTGAGAACCGGAATCCCACAGCGCTGACTACACCCTCGTGGAGGTCCCGAGTCGTACTGGGATGATAGGGAGGGTGCGATCAGGGTCAGAGAGGATGGCCAGAAGGTGACGCAGTGCAGCGACATGGAGGGTGAGTCGCTCCTGGCGAGCCTGGAGCATGCTCAAGTCCAGAAGAGAGGACACAACGTCCTCGCGAGTAGCAAGTTGCTCGCTGCAACGGGATGAGCGAATGGCTCGACGCGTCGGTAGTCGCGACGGGGAAGGAGAGGAGACGGTGCGGAGGCGCAGACGGTACTGCGACAGAGGGCTGAGTACACTCTGTCGAGTCCTGCGATACCTCAACTCCAATAGCGAGAGGGGCGAACCGCGACGGAGATGTCGGAAAACCCACTACTGAGTAGGGCGCAGGTGTACACTGCACCGTGGCTAGGAGGCGCCGCGGGGACGTGAGGTGGGGATTGAGCACGACGCTGACGACAAAGATCAGCGTAGTGGCGGTCGAGGGCGGTAGTGTAAGGGCACCGCGAGGAGGTATGACCGTCCAAGCGGCAGCGCAAACACTCACGCCGGCCCAGAATAGTCGTGCGCTCCTCAGCGGAAAGGACACCACAAGGAGGGACGAAGCCCTGAGGGACCCCGGGGGGCAACGCGCCAGCGTGACCAGGGCGGCTGCGTGCCCGAGAGAGGGCGGAGAGCGCGAGCTTAAGGCGCTCAGCTGCAGGGAGGGTAGAGTCCTCCAAGTGATAGTGGACGGCCTCGCAGAGATCGAGGTTGTCGCTCTGGTCGCCCTCAGGTGACAGTGGGGCAACACCGTCCTGCTCACCATACTCCAGCGCGCTGCAGCGGCGCGAGAAGTGACGGCCCTGCTGCGTGGAACGGCGGGGGCGACCACAGAAAGGGGAACGGCGCTGGGAAGTGTCGTGAGAGGAGGAGGAGGCGTAGCCCGTGCGCTGGGGCTGGGAGGAGGAGGCGGGGTGA